CCAAAATGGGATGTCCACATATATGGACGCCAGGTCCTAGGAGGTTAAGGTGTGAAACAGCTGTGTACTGCCTTTTGTTCCTGTAGAAGGTATTTAACTGAGAGCCATGTTAGACTCAGGGGAGACTCTGCTGACCTGCCCCACGGTCATGTAGGCTCTCCACCAAGCCTGGTTGTCTGTTCTTTGTGTGTTTTGATTAAAGAATGTTATCTACCGCTCACCGCTCGTCTGCAGGCTTTATTTAAATGGAAAACTTCCACAACAACAGTTAACCACATCACACATTGCTCAAGCCTTTAATTTAGTTGTGATTTTCTTGGTATTATAATTTAAAATAATTCAAATATCCAGCTGTAGTTCTGTTGTTTTTCTAAACTCATCAAAAGTGTTTTGGGGGTTTCTTTTCATATTTTACTTTTAGAGATATGCAGTTCTAAGAGTATTTTAATCTAAATTTCTAAACCGAAGAAACTTCAGGAAAGTCTGGTGGCAGAAGCTTGATAAATCCATCCATCCATTCGCTTCTGCTTATCCTTTCCAGGGTCGCAGGGAGCTTAATAAATCTGCTCTATAATTTGACAAAAGCACACTTAAGTCGTACTGAAACTGTAAACTGTAGATTCCATCACATAAATCTTATTCACAATATTTTTCTACTCTGATATCCTGAGCGGCCCGGGAAAGAGCCAATACCTTGTGATTTCCTTTTTGGCTGCTACAATCAGAATTTTTAAAAGATATTAAAGAAATTATCAGAATTTTTTAAGAATATGGAAGAAATTTGTAAAGGCATTTTATTTACCTTGAGCTTTGTGGAACTCAAGCCGTAACGTTTTAATTTTCCAGCAGTCCCACCTTCCAGGCCTCACATAACCTCCAACGGTTGAGTGTTCTCATGTCAAATATCCCTTTTTAACTACAGAAATTTTTATCAGCGGTTTATTGTCCTGTAAGGAGTACAGAAAGGTGTATCTGAGTACTTTAGAAAAGAAGTCTTTACTGATGGGTGCATGGGAGGGTATCTGGTGCAAAGGTATCACATTAACAGTGGCTGTGCAAGAGCTATTAAAAATTAACAAAAAATAGGACACAGACTTTCTGTCTCACTCTGAAAGATCCTGCTGTGCTGATTTGCTGCCCAGTGTAAAATATTACTGCCACTGTCTGAAATGGATCTAATATTAACAGCTTGTTGAATTAACAGTGGGCACTTATAGTGTGGTTGCTTGCTTGCTAATGATACGTATTTAAATTGGCAAATTTTTTGAGTGGAGTTTGGTGTAAAGCATTTCATGCACACTGAGCACAAACTGGGACAGTGGATTATTTTAAACACTGCATGGTAGCAATGGCACCCTTCAGTCTTTATCTGACTCTCTGTTTGTCTGAAAACATAAAACAATATGTAATATGAATCAATCTGTCTCTGAATCTTCTTAGAAAAAGTATTGTGTAAGGGGACTTTTTATCTTACATTCATAAAGTCCAATCTTTTTCTCTTTTTCAGAAAAGATGTCCTCTCAAGTGA